TTCGCTTGTAGGTTTGTGCTCACCTTAGTCTCCTAGATATTTGGAAGTAGTCGCTTCCTCCACATGAATGACTCGGTGTTACCGCTTCTAATCACACGTACTGCTTCTACAATCTTTGTATTTTTAATAAGCAAATAAATTGCTTAAAAGTAGTTAAAAATAAATATAAATAATTTAATTACATATATATTAGCATAATTTAAGGTTTTGTTTGGTGCAGCTGCACCCGAGGAAGCTGCTGCAGAGAAGCTGACTGTCTGTTTGAAACAGCTGTGTGAAAACAGTTGTGAGGTAGCTGTTTCTGCAAAAATGATCATTCTAGATCTATTTTGTAATGTTGTGCTTAACAGAACTGTGATAGTCATAAAGACAACAGTTCAAAGACAACAGTTCACTTAAAAACAGTACAAAATTACAGATACATGCATTGATGCTCGGGTAAAAATAAAGCCCCAACTCATAGTTTTATTTTATTATTTATTTAACCAAAAGAGTATTAAAGTTCAATTAATTACTTGAAATTAGAAACCTTATTTTAAGAAAATAATAAAATTTATTCAAACTCATCATTAATTAGAAGTTTTAAAACATCATTATAAATTTCAAACACTACAAACAACTCTCTAATGAATAATAATTTTAACTTTAAGCCATAAATAAATAAAATTAAAATCATTGCTTTTTTTATCTAATTTCTACCATCCTATCAACTGTTCTCATTACCTAAGCACTAACACATATATACGTTACTAGCAAACTATCCCAACCACTAGCTCATTCAAATCTTCACCAGCCACTTAATTATTTTTGTCATCATTTACATATATATCAGCCACTTAATTATTTTTGTCATCATTTACATATATACCACTCAATTCTTATGTATTTACATATATAACACCTACATTTTGTTTTTTTATTTATTTTTTTTTTTTTTTGACATTTTGTAATCTGAATCTTTCACACCACATAAAAACATCATTACATTAACTTCTACAAGATGAAATGCACCTTTTCAGGCATAAATAAGGTGACATGAAAATAAAAATTGAAGTTTTGGAGTTAGATATATATAAGTAAATACATAAGAATTGAGTGGTGTGTATGAAAATTTAATTTATTTTTATGTTTTGATGAAGCGGTTTTACCCTTGAGGAGTACAGTTTTACTATTGGAGTTGGATGGCTAAATAATAGAAAATCACACATTTAACCCTTTCCTGTTGGCTAATTTAATTAGTAAAACTTGTTTATAATATTTCATATACTTACCACTCATAATGATCCGGTAATAAACAAAGTTCACCACTCATAATAATCATGTTCATGCTCATCACCCACAAATTTTGAATCTATTTAATGAAGTTGAAGTCACGGGAAAATGGAGTTGAGAGGGTCTTGTTGATGTTTGAAAGGCAAACGACAGTGAAGGAATCGTGCTATGTACCATCTGGGAGCTTGCACAAGAGATGTCCGTGCCAACGATTTTCTTCACTGCAACTCCATTGATCACTATAAAGGAATTCGAATCATATGTCTCATCAGGTTAAAGACAAAATGCTCGTAAAAATTGATTACAGCGTTGACAGGCTGCATCAGTACTTCATAAGCCAAAATGCCTTTCATGAAGCCTCAGCATTCTTTTATCAAATATAAAATACAAATAGTCAACATTATTTGCGAGGAAGATGTTAATTGTTGTTTCAAGCCAAACAATGAAGTTGAGAGCTTCTCTAAATCTTGTGAGAGCGAGTTCGGGTTAGAAAAGTTGAAACTACATTGTCAAAAATAAGAAATTGACTTAATCAAAATCTAATGAAACATGAAAATATGAGATATAAATAGCTTGGATGGAAGACTTACAACTGTATTTTTGTATAATTTGGAAGAAGTTAAATGAATTCGAGTCACTCTCACATTGGAAAGACTATTACAAGCTAATGAATATGTTCGTTTGGATGGGTGCACTCTCTGTCTCCTCCCCTAATTCACACGTACGCATGCCACACGTAATATTCTTTCATCAATTTAAGCTTGAGCTTAATTAATTAATAGAGTTTAATCTTAAATGCAAGCTTATTTCGACGAGTAGCTGGTTTATGACGAAATAAATAGATCAGTATTAATTTAATTAGTTAGTATTAGAATAGAATGGAAGAAAAATTGAGTGGTTAGGAGATTTATAGGAAAAAATCACTTGATATAAAATATTAAATATAATTTTTAAATATTTTTAATAATTTATAGATAAAATCTTGAATTTTAGTATATTGGGACCGTGTATATATTAAGAGTAATAAAGACAATTAATAAATATATGATGTGATGATAAAGTAGAACATTGATTATCATCTATATTAGAAATTGAAAATTAGACTTACATTTTTTTTAGTTAACTCCAATATCTCTATTGGTTTTGTCTTGTGTAAGACCTATTTAAAAGTTTCTCCTGTCCAAATATTCTAATCTCACAGCTCCTCAAACAAATAATATTGCTTAAATGAAACACAATACATTAATATATATACAATGTCGTAGCTCCTTTAACATCTTTTTTTCACATAATGAGCATGCAAATCATATTCGAAGTATCATAATCATAGAGAATGCATGCATGCATGGCTTTATATTAATGCAGCAAAAATTACATGTATGTTTTCATGGCATTTGCATGCATGCTTGCATGCTCGATCGCCTGCGTGGGTGATCTAAACCTCCAATTACTTGCCAAATTAATTTTGTTATTCAAAATTTTTTGAACAATTGAATGATTTACAGACATACTACTCAAATCTTTGCACCTTATCAATGCTTAAAAGCTAGTATTTTATTATTTAAAAGATAAAATAATAATATTTTTTGTTGTTCTTCATCATCGCACTTTTTTCTTATCTTTATCACTATAGAAAGAATGGTATTCTCAGACTGCAGTTATGATGAAAAACACCGTTATTTTTAGAGGTTCCGATAGTATATCAACTACTTTAAACTCTTGGATAAAATGTTTGTCGATATTTTCTGAACTAACAAATATTCCAATGTCATGAAATTGTCGACACGTAACCGATAAATTAATGTCGTAACTTTTTTTGGGAAAATTCAAATCGTCAGGTTTCGTCGGTTCATTGAACCGACGGTTACACCTAGGGCTGTTAAAGATGCTCGCTGATCGCGAACAGCTTGTATACGTGTTCGGTTCATTCGTTAAGTTTACGACCTGAAGACGAGCACTTTTTTTGTGCTCGATATATAAACAAGCCAAACACAAATAAATATTTGTTTGTTCACGTTGGACTTGTTTTTGCATGAAATACTACTCACTATATATATATATATATATTGATGATTTGTTTTTTTTTTATTTAATTGATTACAAGGTTATAAAGATTTATAATCAAGTAAAATTATTAATTAAAAAAATAGAAAAAAATATATTAAATTAAAATATGAGCAGTAGAAATAATAGAATCGTAAAGATTTTTTCTATTCATAGTATAACTATTAAAGTTATCCACAACCTTCATATACAAAAAATTAAATCACTTTAATGCATCAGTAGATTGTAGAAGCATTGTAGAAGCATATTCAATCTTATCATCTTTCAAAAGGTTTTATGCAATCCACAATCCGGGCTCACTATTTAGCCCTCTAACATTACAAGCGGCCAGCTACAGATAAAGCATTAAAAAGAAATAAAATAGAAATAAAATATAAACTAATAAATAAAAGTGATCGGTTATATCTAACTTTTTCAGCTCTCAAAGATACATAATTAGAAGAAGAAGACACAACTATCGTTTGAGTCATATTAGAAGTATTGCCAAGAGAAACATGATTAGCACTGGAAACATTTTCCAAAGAAACAATAATACTAGAAGCATTTCCAACATTAGAAATATTACTCATAAAAGCATCAACATGAAAATTAATATTAAAATAAGTAACTTTTGAAATAACAACCAACTGAATACCCAAATATTAGCAAATAATATTATCCACATAAATAGTAGAATTACCATTTAATTTAAAATTAATTTCAATAATAGGGATTGAAGGTAGAACAATAGTAGTATCTGCAGAAGATTCATCACTAATAGTAAAGACATTAGCAAATATATTCAAATTAAGGGCAATCACCAAAAAAATAACAATATTTATATATTTTTTTTAAGGATTTAATGATATTCAATAATTTACTACGATTCATTGGATTTCCAAATCCTGCCTTTATTTATAGGAATAAAAATATTTTCGTTGCAAGAAGAAGACCCAGGAATGTCTGAATGACTATAAGCAAATGTAAAACAGACCTTGCAAGGTTCAAGTTTTCAATTCTTAAATAACAGAAATAACAATGTCTTTATCTCTTAACTATAATATTAACAAAATCACGTAAAGCGGAATCACTTTAACCCAGATGATAATTCTTGCAATGGTCAAAAGAGAACCTTTGGCAGTCAACAAACCCACAACTAATGAAATGCCAGTATTACTGGCGATTTTCGAAATACCACATTCTAATCGACAGAAAAGGGGGAGATAATGAAATTTAACCAATATAGGGACTAAAAATAAAATGTACCACCAATAAATCTAGAGCCACCTAATATAAAATCTTTAGAGCAACTAAATTTAAACATAAAAAACTCTCTATAACTGAGTATTTAAATTTCTACAACTTTTCAAGGACTTGTAGAAGATAATCAAAGAAGGATCCTTCATCTAAAACACAACCACCCAAAGCAACATACTAATGTTCTCAACCTTATTCAACCTCATATTCATCGAAAATGATTTTCTCATTTCTACACGAGACATAAGATAGATTAAAAACCCAAGAACTTGAAAGATTAGAGGATATCAATACCTTTCAATATAATGTGGGGCCAGAGTCAAGAGTGGATATGGTGGGTGGGAGGAGAAATGAGAGGAAAAAAAAAAAGCCTATGACAATCAAGGAAAAAAAAAAAAAAACTCAAAAGACCCAAAGACCCTAAAATCAACGCTAACCACAGTCAGAAGAGAAACAAGAGTAGAAAACGATCTAGGATATACTTCCCCTTTAAAGGGAAGAAGGACTTCTCTTGGAGGACTCCCGTCGTTCACGCATATTTTCAAATTTCCAACTTCCATCAGCTCAGGAAAGGCGATTTACAGGGGCGGGAGACTGCACGGAAGTGGTGGAGGTGATCGAACAACAGTGAAGCGATCTCTATGGCGGTCGGTAGGGGGGAATCCGAGATCTTCAAGTCGCGCACCGACAAGCGGGAGTACCGCAGGATCATCCTCCCAAACTCACTCGAGGTCCTTCTAATAAGTGATCCGGACACTGATAAAGTATTTTCTTCCCCCCTTCCAATTCATCCTCATCTTCTCTACGAATCTGAGATACTTACCAATTTCTTCTCCCTTCCGCAGTCTGCGGCTTCCATGAATGTCTCCGTCGGCTCTTTCAGCGACCCCGAAGGACTCGAAGGCCTTGCTCACTATCTCGGTAGATACTTCTGCGTGTTGTTTTGTTTACCCTACGGTTGTTTGGAATCTGGAGCTTTTATGATTTAGGGACTTCAGTGTGATGCTTCGAACCCTTTTTTTTGTAGCTGACCTATTAAAATTTGGAAGTCTATAGTTATTGTCATTGTTTTATACTTTCTAGAAATCTCTTCAGAGATCAAAACATGCTAGTTGAATATAGATGGAATCTGTGGGGTTTATTGAGGTATGTGTAGTGATGCACTGATGCGGCATCATTTTGGGCTTATTTCTTCATTATTAGGTTTTAGCTATTGTTAATGCACCAAGCAAGGGGGAGTGGGATTAAAATGGGAGCTTTTTGGGTCAGCTTGGGTTGACTGAGAAAGTGAGAGGGAGGGAGGTAGGTTGAAGCCATACCATCTTTGTTACCTTTTGGAGATGTTTGTTTACTAGCAACATGTATAGCTTTATGACCTCTCTATACAAAACTTTTTTTAACAAAGTGTGAACTCGGGATGAAAGGACCATCGGTTTGGAAATATATCTTCACACCTATTTTCTACCCGTAATTTGGTAGCATTTTCTTAAATGATTTATTCTGATCTTTATTTTGACTATAAATGGTTTGTTTTTCTTCATCAGTTATTTCTCTATTGCAGAACATATGTTGTTCTATGCCAGTGAGAAATATCCGGTCGAAGAAAGCTACTCAAAGTATATAACAGAGGTATCTGCTATTTCCTTTTATTCTTTCTTTTACTTTCTTTTGAGGCATTAACTAACACTTAAAGTTGCACTATTTTTTATAAATGGTTTCTACTGCTAATATTTTACATTATTATAAATAAAACTCAGCATGGTGGCTCTACTAACGCTTTCACATCTGAGGAGCAGACAAATTTCTACTTTGATATTAATACAGATTACCTGGAAGAGGGTCTGGACAGGTAAAATACTTTTTATTTCTTTTTATACTGCCTTTTCTTTTATGCGGTCTACAGTTTTCTTTGTGTCTTGTTTTAGGTTTGCACAATTCTTTATCAAGCCGTTGATGTCTCCTGATGCTACTATTAGGGAAATAAAAGCTGTGGACTCTGGTTGGTAATTTCTCCTTGTTTGCCCCTGTTATATGACCGTTATTTTATCTCTTTGGTTGATTTGCGGGCTAAACACTCATGTTATTTTCTTTCAACTCAGAGAATCAGAAAAATCTATTATCAGATGTTTGGCGGATGAATCAGGTATTATTCATTATCTTGTCTTGCTTTGTTGTTCCATGTTTTTTTTCTTGTTTTAAAAGTGTTAATTTAATATTTACTTCACCTTGTAAGTTAACATAAATTGTTTAGAATGAAATTCAACTTAAGCATCTATATTTTACTAATTATTTAAAAATTACTACCCTGCCCGTTGACAAAAATGCAAAATCATATTATGTTTAAGCATACAGAAGGATTTTAAATCTTTTCCCTTAAACTTTACTTTTCATTTATGTGATTCCACCATACCCATTTATACTCGAACGATATGCATATAAATTGCAGAATGGGTAGGAGTGATAGGTTGTCCTTCCATGTGTTAAATCATTGGTCATATGAGCGACATTTATTGCTTTTTGTATTAAGATGCTCTTCATTGTAATTCTCTTGCTTAATTTGTTCTAGAGCCTATTAATCATGCAAAGTAGTTGGGCAAGCTCTAGTAAAGAACTTTCAAATAGCTTAAACATTTTTGTGGTATTTTTAATTTTTTTGTCAGACAAAAGAGCTAGGAATTTACGAACGTCTATATATATATACATATATATATATATATTTATATTTATATATATATTTAATGCATCGTAGAGTTTAAACAAGGATAAATTATAGTTTTAATTTCTTATTTTATTTTATAAGAAATTGTTTAATAATCTTCATCATTATTAGCCTTTATCCCAAATTTTTGGGGTTGGCCTTAGCTTTGTCCATCTCGTTCATGGAGGAATTAAAGTACTAAAATTACAAAAAATATTACCGGGATTGTACTTATTCGTTCCTTTTAAGTGAGAATGATTCTTTCTTTTTTTTTTTTTTATAAAATTTTATTAAAATTATCTTCTGTTACGTTTGCCAACCCAACCAAATTTGTTCCACTTGACCAACTAATTATCGCAACTCAGTTTTGGAGCTCAGATAGCAACTCAGTATTGGAGCTCAGATAAATCGACATATAAACAAATGATGGTGATGATCAAATTGTTCAAGTCACACCTCTGTCTAACATTACGAAAGTTTTCAATAGCATTATTGCAGAGCAATCCCGATATTGACAATATTATGGTTAAGTATATACCACAGAAGAAATTTATATCCATCAAAATGTAATTTGGAGCATTTATATCTAAAATTTAGTTTTACCATCCATCCGTTAATTAAATTTTATTTATTAGTCCATATACAGTCAATCTTTTATTACATGCAATCATTTTAGAATGCAGATTATAAAATTTATTTAAACACGAATACAACTTACCCATTACTTTTTTAGCTACCTTTTCCCACCTAAATTGCTGCCAGCATGTGTCAGGTTGTGTTACATTGATAACTTTATGGTAAATTGAGAATAAATAAAATAGAAAAGAAGCAACATGCATGCTAATCATTGAGCATTTGTGTAAAAAAATTAATGTACATAAAGTAACTTCCTAATTATGTGATCATTTTATGACTTTGAATATTTATGCGTAAATAAATTGATAGAAAATTTGGCTGTAGTCTCGAATGAGCCTGCGTCAATGTGGAATAATAATTTATGGTATAAAAATCCAAAGTCTTAATCATATGCATTTTGCATTCTTTTTGGCTTATCATATGACATAGCATTTGTCATTGCTGTAGAATCATATTCATAATAATAACATGTTCTTAGTATTAGAATCGTAAATATCATAAGAATGTAATATAGATTGAAAATAATGGTTGGCACAATATTGACGTCATCATAATCATGTATTATGGAATGATGATAACATCAATTATTTATTATATTATATTATAAGTAGTGTCGTAATCTTAACATAAAGTGCAGTTTGTTTATTACAAGTTCAATGGCTATATATTCCCATCTTGGGAGCATAACATGAAACCGTAGTTTAGCAGCACAATATATAGAATTAAAGGTTTGACAGTAGCATTATATGTAGAATAATGGTAATGAATTGCAATTGAATTTTATCAGTGTAACATTGACTTCACTTTGGAATCATGAACATAAACTATAAAATGATCATCCCATTCAAGAAATTTTGAGATAATGTAGCATTGCACGTATGATCGCTGTAAAATGACCAGTGCATCTATGAAATTTTGAGACAATGTAGCCCGTATGACATAATAGTTTGAAGAATGTTAAAGAATTAAGATGAATAATAGGTTAAAAGCCCAAAATAGTTCCCCAACTATATTTGTGGTCAATTTAGTCTCAGAGTATCACATACATTTCACTAATTTAGTCTCATAACTTTGTAAAATTGATTCCAAATGGTACCTCGGGGATTAATTTGTGATCAATTTTGTATCCTAAATTCCACAAATTTTAACTGGAGAGACTGTTTGGGATGCATTTTGTATAGTCGAGGCACTAAATTGGAGAAATATGACACTGAGATTAAATTGGGAACATACAAATTGTTAAGGGATTATTTTGAGTTTTTAATCTTAACATATAACATAGCCTTACATAAAGGACATTTTAGGCATAAAAAACTTATATAAACAAGTGGAATTTATATGCATTGAGTCTATAGAAAAGAAGCAGGACTCCATATAATTACCCACCTAGTAGCTTGGATTGTGAGCTATTGCATTGTTATCAATTGGCAAAACCTTGGAATGGTGGTTTATCACACTTAAAATAAAATTTCATCTTATTCATCTTAATCAATCTCCAATCCTTATAAACCAAACTTAACATTAAGCATATAACTCAAGTTATATGACTAGATCACCTTAGTTCTTATCAGGCTGCCTCTTTTTCTTATAACCAAATTTCTCAAGATTGTGGTTACATAAACATTTTTAACCATTTGACATACATAAAATATAAATCCATGTAATTAACACATATAATATGATAATTAAGTTTCTCTTTTTATAATATTTAATCAGAATGTCCTCAATCCTAATTTACACTAGGCTTGTTAATTTCCGACTAGAATCTTTCTTACTGGATTTAATCATTCCGGCATGTTTGAAAGGTTATATAAGTTTAATTTATTTTGCATATATTGAACATTACCTCCAAACTATTAGAATTGATCTCTAGAGTTAGAATTTATCATTTTAATCAACATATTTTACATAACTCGTGTCTCAAGCGTCATATATCTTATCATTTTAAACAGGATATTTAACACAACATGTCTTGCAATTATATAATCATATGCTGTTTTCACCAAGAAGGAAGAAGAGGAATAATAAGAAAAAGACGGAAAAGCCTTGGTTCTATTCTTCTTCCTCCTTTTGCTCTTAAGCCCTGAGTATTCCTGGTTTCGGACTGTATCTTTCCCTCAATCACTGTTGCTCTTGAGCCCAAAAATTGCCTCCGACTCGACACTCACTGTTGCTTGTTTGCTAGCTCTCTCAGTTGCTTGCTAGTTCTCTAGGTCGCTCGCCTGCTTGGCTTGTTCCCTCGCTCCCTCGCTTGCTTGTTCCCTCGCTTGCTTGTTCCCTCGCTTGCTTGTTCCCTCGCTTGCTAAGTCTCTTTCTCTCGCTCATGGCTGTTCATATTAGAACGAACACAAAGAATTAACTTGAACCAGACAAAAATTTTGAGAGTTGATCGATATGAAAATTGTAATTTAATCCATTCGACAATTATTATTATTTTTATTTTATTTACAAACTCATATTAAATTGTAATTTTTTTGTTTTTTTAGTTGCCATGCTCATTTTGGGCTGGTTGACTATATGATTCTGACCAATAAACATAAATTTAACACCTATTTTTGCCTAATATATATATATATATATATATATATTGTAATGCATCTTATATATGAAATTTTTATGCACTTGTTGTATGATTATTTTTTCTTAAACATAAATCCTTTTACCATAATCCACTTGATCGAATAACTTGTCCCATAAATAATTGTGCTATTTTCCATTTATTGTTATTATTATTATTATTTATTTTAAACATTCTTTCTAAATGAATTTAATTTGGATGAATTGATTGCTAGATTTATCCATTAATAATTTTTTATTTGTTAGTAGTTTTCTTAGTGACTTTCGGCTCCCACGCCAGGGCAACATTTGTTTGTTTGGGCTGTTTGTTGGGATCATTTAATGTATACCTGTAAAGATTTTCTATGATTTGCTTTCTTTTGTAAATTACATAGAATGTTGACCATTGTGTTTTTTTTTTCGTAAAATCTGTGAATTTTCAAATGGTTGAATTTTTTATGGCAAGAATGGGCACTCTTATCCCAGTGGTATTTTGGTAGGAGTTGAACGATAATATACCTATCTGTCATTCACAGATTCCACTTGTTTATGCTTTCTTAGTTTATTGCTCATTTATTTGCTTGGCAATCTTTGTATTGATTGATAATACAAGCTTATTTGTTTCAACCTTTGCCAGCTTCAAAAGCATCTGAGTTCAAAGAATCATCCATATCATAAATTCAGTACAGGTAAATAAGTATTTTGTTTGTTGATATAAACAACAAAAATGCATTATATATTTAAATTGTCACTACTTTTGAACAATTTTTAATTTTACTTGAGATTTAAAGCCTGTTTGGGGCAGCTGCAGCTTATCCAGTTTACGCAGATAAACAACTTATCCTGACAAGCTGCGTATCCTCAGCTGATCCTGATAAGGTGTTTGCCTGTTTAGAGTCTATCTGAGGCAGCTGAAGCTTATCCAGTTTATGCTGATTTGCAACTGTTTCTAGATAAATAATCATTTTGCCCCTGAATTGGATAAATAACAATTTTGCTGCATATGATTTCTTGGCGGAGATACACATACAATTAATTGATCATACACAGCTTATTCCACCAACAAAATAGAAATCAATCATAAAATTATAGACATAAAACAACAATCTATGTATTAGCATCACACCAGTTACAATATATTCATGAACTTCAACATAATTTTTTCTAGCCTATTTGCATAAACCCCAATCTCTAAAAAATCAGTATTTCTATGAAGATCACAAATAATGTTTCAAAGAAGATCTCATAAAATTTGCATCATCACAGAAATTTGTGGAAGAAGAATCGGTGGGTAAAAGCATAAATATAGCAAAGAATAAGTAAGGATTTGGAACAACGAAAGAACCTAATAAAAAAGAATAAAGAGGGAAGAAAAGAGATGAATGGGAGGAGGGAGGAGGGAGGAGAGGGATTTTTATACCAGGGATGAGCAGGATCTCGAACCGAATGAGGGAGTGCGGCGGTAGGAGCGACTTCGGCCGGGCTTCCTTCGGCGGGGATGAGATAGGAGCGGCTTCGGCGGGGCTTCGTTCGACGGGGATGAGAGCTTCGACAAGGATGAGGTTGCGCGGATCCCTTCGGCTTCCTTCGACAGAGTCGGGTTTGAGGGCAGGGGCGTAAATGCTCGGCCGAATGCTAGAACGCAGGGTAATACCATCGACCGCGTCACAATATAAAACGCTGTAAAATGCTGTTTTCATTAACTCGGTTAAAACGTGCGAATCAAACATCAAGGCGGCGTATTCAAAAAAGCCGTCGCACTTTAAAGCTGCCCCAAACGGGCCCTTATTCAACTTCCGCATTTATTTCCTAAACTCGTCAGAAGTTTTTGTAGTTTTTATTTTTAGTAGTACTTGAATTTTAATTTTTACTGTTTTGATCTATGTGTAAGTCAATCAAACCATCCTTTAAAATGGTTTGGTGACTTGAGGTTTCTTTATGAACTGATGTTTTGTCGTCTACATTCATGTTGCTAAATTTATATTCATTGCATTTGATTTTATTCTGTCTATTTAAATTTGGTCTTATAAATACTTTCCAAATATTTGACATTTTGCATTTATTGATGTGTCTGAGTTTTAAAACAAACACATGACGAGAGATAAGCTGGTCCATGGTTGGTTGTTGCAGTTGTTCCTGTGTCCATCCTGTTGATTGTAAAGGAGGGGTTTGAACAGGCCCATGGCTTATTTTTCCCAGCTGGTTCAGTTTCCCCTGCCCCCATGCCTGGATTGAACGCATCAACGCCCTATTTCCCTTTAGTTAGATTGGTATTAGTGTTTTTTTTTAATTTGATACTTACAATTATGCTGTTTAGAAACTGATTTGAGACACTTTTTACTTTGATTTATATTATTTGGAGGTTCCTTTCTCCCTTTTTCTTCTATTTGGAGAGCTATAACTTTTTTTTTCTTTAAGTGTGAAGCTATATCTTGAAGAGAATAGGTTATGGATGCTCCCTGTCATTCACACCTTGTCAACAGTGATGCTGATTGGCGTTTCCCCCACAATCTTGCCTGCCGAACAGCAGTCATAGTAGTTTTTGCCTCCAATCCTTGTAAATTCTCAGATTTTTCTTTTCTTATTATTATACACCTAATATTCACAACACTTATTTCTATCCGAGTATCCTAGAACAGTGTCATTTGGTATCAACGCCTTTGAATCATTCATTTAAAAAAAAAAAAAATCTAAACCCTCACTCATAGCCCATACCTACAATTTATACCTAAACCTAAAACTAACTTTCGGCCAGCCCTAAATCTAAAATTTTTGCCTTGGCTGAAACCTTAAAGGGAGTAAATTAGCATGCCACCAAGGAGAAACCTGCAATAAAATATTTAAAAGCTTACCATGGAGGATATGCAACAGGAAATCCTCCAATTGCCACAGATATTAGTTAATTTTGAAAGAAGATAGCACATGGAAGTCACCTACAACAATAATGGTAACCATTCGTATGGAGAAGATGAAAATCTTTTCTAACAAGCCTTAAGCGATGAAGAGCCAATGCCGTGTTGATTCATTTTTGAGTATAGGAGGAAAGGGGAACTTTGGAGTGAATGTTGATTTACCGGATTTCGATGATTTTATGGATTCAAACGAATTAATTGACTCCAGATAGTGTATTGTGTTTTTGAGTACAATGACATCTCACTTGACAAATATATGAAATTAGCACCTATCACATTAATGAAGAGTGTTTTTCTATGGTGGGATAATCAACAACGCTTGTGCTAGCTCGAAGGGAAAAAATAGTATTGTAACCCAATCAAATATGAAAATGAGATGCAACGTATGTATTTTTGAACACGTTACAAACAAGACATATTCTCTAGACTTCATCACTTACAATAGAATATTTGATACAGGAGAAATAGCCCAAACCATAATAGAAATGATAATTTTGTTGCTGAAATTCAGAAGAACTACAAACAACGACTCTTGATAATAGGAGAATAAAAATAATACAAACACGAAAGACACCCTAGGGTGGCGGTGAGGGTGGTGGATGACAACTGGGCAGCAGGTCGAGGGATTTGTTGGAGGGGATGGGCGCAAGAGGAGGCTGAAATGAGGGTATAACAGCCGACGGGGTGTTGTGAGGGTGATGGCAGCAGCTGGACACATACTGAGGGGCGGCGGCGGGGGAAAACGGGAAGTGGACAACGGGTTTTGGGGAGCAGGGAGGTGGCAGCAGCAAGTGGATGCGGTGGACGGCGGCTGGGCATGGAATCAGAGGCCTGGAAATGGTTGGTAGTTGCTGGAAGCGGGGTCAGAGGGGACTGCGAACTAATAAACATCTCTTCGGGGTCGAGCTACAGCCGGAGCATCACCCAGATCCTTAGAGACGGTCACCACCTCAGACGGTTACAGCTGGAGCACCTTCTCGTTGTCGGGCACGACCCCCTGAGGGGAAGAAAACCTTAGTGGCAGAACTTAGAATTCTCCACTCATTCAAAAACTGTTTGGTTTTCATAAAACAACATCTATAAATCAGAGAGATTAGGAGATAGCCAAGGCAAAGATTAAAGAGGGGGTGGGATTGTTCAAATAGTCACTCTGCCATAGTACCAACAACTAAAAAAATAGCATATGCATGACATCTAACTAGTCAGTCTGTCTAAAAAATAACGAAGTATGGAATCATCTGTTCAAGGAGCAGGGTGAAGAAATCCTCTCGCTTGTTTTGATCCTCCAGATGTTTTACAATGAATAAGTATCGGTGCTTGTCCTCGCAAATTTTTGAAATGGGGTCCATTAGCTTGACAACATTTGTCATTGTTGGGTATGCATGGAGAGCAGTGCGGGCACTTGTAGTAATGCCGGTGCAGTTTGCCACCAACTGTGATATCTACTGGGATAGATGAGCTGCCCTAACTTTACTTTTCTTTTTCCCATTTTTGTGTCGAGGGTGTAGGTCGCTTGGAGTGATTGAACTCCTCTTGTTCTCTTTCTTCTGGCTATTCCTTGTAGGCCTCGTTCGAATGAGCACATTCAGTCTCATCCAAATTAGGGGTGGGCTCTTCTGTTGTGGCCCAAACACTAAGAAACATAATATCTAGCCTTTGCTCCGGCTTTGGGTCAATTTCAGCAAGTCTAAATTTGTTTGCATTTGGTAAAACCTGCAATTAATAAATTGGTCTTCTATGATGCATAATTTTAATTAACAAATAGTTAATGTAAGTTGTTATACTTACAAAAATCTTCTCTTGCCACCACTTCTCAGGTGCATCAATTGTTTTTTTAATGGCCCCCCCATCTTAGACCAGTGACCCCTCTCTCGAGTTCCTTCCACAACTTCCAATCCTTTTTAAGCTGATCCCATTTATTTTTCAGTTGAGTTTTGTTGTACAATATAGTAGTTCTTTATTGAAAGAGTTTGATTATATTTTACCAACCTTCATTATTGAAGTATCTTGTTGGTCTATTGTCTTTTTTTACCTCTTTTAAGTATAAATCATAACAAATTATCTTCGTCTCTCTAACCCAAATAACGAACATCCTACCTTCTTTTTGTTTACCCATTTGATTTCTAAGTAAAAATAAGAAATATATTAACATAATTTGGCATGCAAAACAACAATACATGAACTCGAGTAAGAATATGCCAAATAAAAATTAAAAGTAGAGTTCAGAATCAGTTCATAGATGTCAAAGATAGATATCCCAAATAGATATCAAAGATAGCTATCCCAATACATTTCTTTTTTTATCTTCGTTTCCTTATCCTAGATAGTGGATATCCCACATTCTTTTTTTTTACCAATATGATATTTAAATAAAAAAAGAAATGTATCAATATAATTTGCATGTAAAACAACAATACATAAACTTAAATAAGAATATATCAAATAAAAAGTAAAAGTAGAGCTCAAAATCAGTTCATAGATGTCGAAAATAGCTTCATCCATGATCAACAATTGTGTTATGTAGGCATAAAGGACAGGCAGTATCTGTGTCAAATTAGCATAACCATTTTTTTCCACATTCACATTTGATAATTGGTTGAGTCTTTCGTTATGTGTTTTTCATCATCACTCTATTAAACATTTCACAAGAAATGTGAAATGTGCCCACCAAATCTCATTCAGAAAGCCTCATCGTAAACTGAAACTAGATAACCAACGGGTCGACAAAGCATCCGAAGTAATAAGATCATATAAATCATCCAAGCAAACCAAACAATACTCATTTGTTTGTTTCAGATTTTGTTGTTTAATTTTGTTTGTATTGATATGTGAGCATTAGTTTTCGGTTTTTCTAAAAAAATTTCCTGTTCGAATTGCTTGCTCTTGGCTCCTCATTTTGGAGTAATATTTTTGGGGGAGGACGTTGAGCATTGTTTCTCTTTTTTGTAGTTCTCTTCTGCTGAAACTTTTATAAATAGATTGCATATGTTTTGCTGCACATTTAAAAATTACATGATAGATAAGTTAACAACATTCTTACATGTCCTGATCAATCAGTAGAAGCAATAACGTGAAATATATATGAGCATTGTTCATCTGCTTATTTCAGAATTTTTTGTGTACTTGTTATGCTGTTCCAAGCACTAATGAAAACCCTCTGAATACATGTCAGATAAGATACCATAACCAATTTTATATTTTTATCGCGCTAGCCAATTCAGATCTTCGAGACAATAATTAGAGCTCAGTGAGATCTCTTAACCAAAGAAGATTCCATTCATATTCACTATTTTCCTAAATCAAATAAGCATTCGAACGTATTCTCTGGCGACTGATAGTATTTGTGGGAAAACAACCTCGCCAATTTAAAATTGACAAGTGGTTATCGGCTAAGCCCTTTGATAGTTATTTTTCATCATCGCTCTAAATAACCTTTAAATGTCATCCCCCATTTGATTTCTTATTGGTAGGTTCACATAAAATTATGAATGAAACAAATAAACAATGTTGAAACATACTAAATTCCATAGCTTTTACTGTTTGATCATGCAAATTTCAAATGTACAATAGAATATATGCAATTTTAATTTTGAAAGTTACAACAATAGAAGAAAACAATTAAAAAGATGAAGCAATTCTTAATATTCTCCTCCCCCAAGATATTACTCCACACTGAGGAGGCAGAAGCAAACAATTCGACCAACATAATTTGTAAGAAAAATTTAAAATCAATGTTCATATATCTATCTAGACAAAATAAAACAACTAAGAAATCTGAAACAAATAGATGAACATCGCTCATATATATTTCCTTCCATTGCTACTACTGATTGATCTGAATAGTTCAGGATGCTGCTAACTTATCTATCATGCAAACTTCAAATGTGCAACAAAACATACAATTTTATTTATAAAAGTTTCAGCGGATAAAAACAATAAAAAAAAGGAACAATGCTCAACATTCTCCTCAAAAAAATATTACTTCACTAGTAGGAGGAGGCCATATCAAACAATTCAACCAACATAATTTGTCAAAAAAACTCAAAATCAGTGCACATATGACTATCCAAATAAAATAAACCAACATAGAAATTTGAAACAAACATATGTGCATTGCTCATATATAATTCATTCCATTACTTCCGTTGATTCATCAGAACAGATAAAAATGTTGCTAACTTATCTATCGTGCATACTTCAAATGTACAACAAAATATATGCAATTCTATTTGTAAAAGTTCTAGCAGTAACTAAAAAAAAGAAACAATGTTCAACATTTTGAATAATTCTGCTAGCATAATTTCTCAGAAAAACTGAAAAGAAGTGCTTATATAACTATCCAAACAAAATAAACCAACAAAGATTTCTGAAACAAACAGATGAGCATTGCTCAGATATTTTTCACCCTATTGTTTATGTTGATTGATAAGAACAAATAAGGATGTTGCTAACTAATTTATCAAGCAAACTTTCAAATGCAGATCATTTGCAATTATATTCATAGAAGTCTTAGATAAACTTAAAAAAAGAAACATTGCTCAATATTTTGAGCAATTCAGGCAACATAGTTTGTTAGAAAAATTGAAAATCAGTGCTCATATAACTATCCAAACAAAAAAAAATTAACAAAGATATCTGAAACAAATAGATGAGCATTGCTCATATATATTTCACTCCATTATTTTTGCTGATTGATCAGGATATGTAAGGATGCTGCTAACTAATCTATCATATAAATTTTCAGATGTGTAACAAATCATATGCAATTTTATTTATAAAAGTCTCAGATAAACTTAAAAAAAGAAGCAGTGCTCAATATTATCCTCAATGATATTACTACGCACTGAACATGAGATAAGAGCAAGTAATAATTTAGACAACATAATTTGTTATAAAAATTGAAAACAAGTGCTCACATATCTATTTAAATAAAATAAAACAACAAAGAAATTTGAAACAAACAGTGAGCATTGTTCACATGTATTTCATCCCATTATTTGTATTGATTGATCAAAACAGTTAAAAATTCTGCTGACTTATCTATCATGAAAACTTTAATTGTGCAACAAAACATATGTAATTCTAGTTATAAAAGTATCAAATAGAGTAAAGAAAATAAGCATTCCCCCCCATGATATTACTACACCGAGCATGAGATAAGAGCAAGTAATTCAGGCAACATAATTTGTTAGAAAAATTGGAAACAAGTGCTCACATATCTATCGAATCAAAATAAAACAACAAAGAAATTTGAAACAAACATATGAGCATTGCTCACATGTATTTCATCCCATTGTTTCTATTGATTGTTCAAAATAGGGAAAAATTCTGCTAATTTATCTATTATGCAAACTTCAATTGTGTGGCAAAACATATGTAATTCTACTTGTAAAAGTATCATATAGAGTAAAGAAAATAAGCATACCCCCCAACCACTGGAAGATTGCAGCAAGTCGTCGGTGTCCAACGGAGGGAGTGGAGAAGAACCAGGGTTTAGCTTTAGCGATACGGGTGAGAAAAGACTGACGAGGGTATATGCGAGGATATGGAGTGGGATTACTGGAAATCTGAAGGGGCAGCAACGTCAAAGGCACTTCACAACGGAGGTTCGGCCGTGGAACACACCCTCTCCCTTCCGTTTTTGCATTCGACTCGATGCGGCCTCCAACCGGTTGTTGCATTTTACTTGCTTATGCCAAAGAGTCAAGCTAACGTAATTGAAGATGCGTTTTATGCAAATATGGTAAAATGGCCAAAACTTAATAAATTATCTAGTGGAACGGTCATGAAAAATTGGTATTGGAAGTAGGCATAATATCGTGGATGATTTACTTTGTTCATTTTTAGTCAGGGTGGAGGATATAGAAATATCCGACACTGATCTATGGATCCTAGCTGGTGTATAAGGAGCGATACGAGGGTTGGGGAGCATAAACAGGGGAAATATATGAGAATTGGCTGGGATTTAGAAGAGTGAAACGGTGACTTCTTCTGTCCCAGAGGAAAAAACAAGAATGAGTAAGGGTTTGGTGGCTTGGTTGTCGATAGACTGACAGCTACTGTCGATCAAGATACTAGTTCATCCCTTGAAGGAAAAAGAAAGCGACAACACTCTAAGAGTAGAAATCCAGAGAAATAATCTGCAAACTGCATAAAATAAAGCAAAAAGTGTTCTAACATGACTTCACGCATAATACTTATACTATGATAACAGTAAACTCTAATTCTAATAAAAATAAAGCAAAATAAGGGGCCCTGTGGGCTTGCCCGTTCCGTGGGAAGGAAAAATTCCTTAACGGGATGTTTTCAAAATAAAGCAAACTATGGGGCCCTAAGTTTTATTAAGTTGTTGCCCAAGCTATAGTTTTTAATATCTTATGAGTGCGAAGTTCAGCAAGGACTCTAGCATTGAAGGGCTGATTATGAATTGTAATGTGTCAAATGGATCCATTTTGACCCATGAAGAGCTTTTCTTTAATTTCCTTCAGGTTTTATAAATTCTCGGCTTTTGTAACTTTGAAATTATTTGCTCCAATTTGAATTATCCTTCTCTATGCTGAAATCTGCCCCCGCTTCCCTAAAAGAACAGCTCTGCTGTATCTTTTCTATTCAAAGCAAATTTTATTTCGCTATGCTTAGAGTAAGCCTGCTCATTCATATCAATGCATCTTTCATTTATAAGAAATTTGATATAGCACTTAATTGACAGAATTGCCACACCATCATCATTATCTTTTTGCTGTTCAAATGGTGGATATTTGGTTTATGAGTAGATGCACTTCTAAAATCTTTTTATTGTTTATAGCTATATTGAGGTATATTGGCCTACTATGATGTACATGACTCTGCAAAATGGTTAATATAGATGGAAAATGGACTTAATGTTGCAGAAACGAAAATTTTATGACCCGTGATAAAGAGTACAAATTATTTAATTTATCTGTGACTGACAAGTTAGAAGAAACTAGGCAAGTTGATTGGGGTTCTCTTGAACATGAGTGATAGAGGCTTTGGTAAGGTTGATTTAGTGAAGAGCCGCTGCGGGGGTTAACAGTAGATTTGGTAGGTTATGTTAAACTATAGTGGCATTGACATACATACAACAATCCCTATAGGTTTACGTATCTAAAACCTAAACTGTTGCAGGAACTGCTAACATTTTAAATGATTCAAGCGCTTCATAGTAACTTGTGATTTTTTACAATGTTAATGTTAATTGTTAAATGAACTGAGTTACACTTTATTACTTGTTTATAAATGGTTCTAAACTTGATTTGGAGATGAAGCTTTTTTTTAATTATTTACATTTTAAGGCCTGGACCCTAATGTAGTTTTAGTTTTATAGGAAATTGGGAAACTTTGGAGGTTAAACCAAAAGAAAAGGGCCTCGATACAAGGCTGGAGTTGATTAGACTTTATGAAGAAAAATATTCAGCGAACATCATGCATCTTGTTGTATATGCGAAAGGTGGCTCATTGCTGCTTTTATTATTATTTTTTTATTTTGAGAAAAGTGTCAAAATAGCCCCCTTACTCTTTCCATGGGATCATTTTAGTCCCAAATGTCTATGAAAATATCAATTTAGTCCCCAAAGTCTTTTAATATGGGCTAAAGTAGTCCCTATAAAGGATTATTTAAGCCCCAATTTAAAGATGGGAATTGATTAGATTTTATGAGGAAAAATATTCAGCGAACATCACACACTTTGCTGTATTTGCCAAAGGTGTTGTATTGCTGCTTTTATTATTTTTTAATTTTGAGAAAAGTGTCAAAATAGCCCCCCGACTCTTTCCAAGAGATCATTTTAGTCCCAAGTTTATATAAAAGTATCAATTTATTTTCCAAACTCTTTAAATATGGGCTAAAACAGTCCCCACGATGGATTATTTCAGCCCCAATTTAGGAACTTTGAGACTAATTTAACACATTTATGGATTCTAGGACTAAAATGACCCCATGTAAACAGTCAATTCCTGCTCTTCTACTTGATGTTTTAATGGTGGTTTTTCAAATTTCATGGACATTGTAGAGAGTCTTGATGAAATTAATACTTTAGTCGAAAGAAAGTTTCAGGACATCAGAAACATTGGATTAAACCACTTGCACTTTCCTGGTGAACCTTGCTCATCTGAATATCTTCAGGTATCTTGATCACTTAACTAGTATTTTGAGACTCAAGACATATAGGTGCACAAGGTTGATTAGAGAATGCTTTCCTTTTTTTAAGCAAGAGATTGTTGAACTGGACATCATATTTATCTGTTATTTATGATATTAGAAGTCTCTTAACATCCTGGAAATTTTTTGTGGTCTACCACTAACGTGCAAAGCAATTTGTAGTGGAGCATGCGTAATGAATTTTGATTTTGTTTGTTATGGTTAGCATGAAGCAACAATTGAAACCATTTAGTATAAACTATTTCCCTTTAAATATGTAATTATCATTTGTCTTTCATATTTTAAGTTTATTAATTAACTCTTCATGTTTTTGGAAGCATTCTTTCTTGGATCCCCTGCATTACTCGCTAAGTTTCAACTATAGCTTTTCTCTCAAATGCACTCAATACATGTAAATCAAGCAAATTTATTGCGTGGTATTTTTTTTATTTGACATTTTTAATAATTTTCTAGAGATAGGTGCCTTGGAGTCCTTAGAAGCAGCATTAATGCTATAATCAATAGATCTATATTCTTATCATGGGAAGTTATTCTATAATCGTAGTTTTCATATAACTCTACAATTTCACTTTAGGGGTGACGTTCTCTTATGCAGATATAGTGTGCTCATGGACTGATGCTTGATTTTATTATTATATACGTGTAGATCCTTGTCAAAACAGTTCCAATAAAAGAAGGCCACACATTGAGAATTATATGGCCAATTTCTCCTGGCATACGGCATTACAAAGAAGGCCCTTCAAGATATCTCAGTCACCTTATTGGGCATGAAGGAGAGGGGTCTTTGTTTTATACTTTAAAAAAAATGGGTAGGACGGAATCTTGTCTTCAAATTTTGTTTATATTTAATTTGAATATTTGCTATTTTTTAAAACTGAATGATTTATTATTTTTTTCTGAGGCTAACTATTTAGCAATAGTCGCCTAGTTTAATGATTAACTATATATCTATACTCCCTCAGTTCAAAGCTAAATCGCAACACACCAACTTTTAGAAGAGTTAGTAACCCTTTTTAACCCATACTTAGGCTTACCTTGTCAGGCCTTTCACCTCTCTATGAGCAGCTATGAGCAGGTCATCATCATTTGCCAACCCATCTCACACTAAATGACTTATTTAATTCTTTTTTTTTAGCATTATCTTATGATTTTTTGAAGAATTTAACATTTGTATGCACCTGCTATCAGTCAACCTATATTAACATGTCAACATAAAATATGAAATGTAAAAAATTTCCTCTTGCTATTTTATCGTATATCATATTCTAAAATAATCATAACATTTTAGTAATATAAATTTCATTTAATTTCCTTAAACAGGTAATTGTATAAAAGATGCAACAATTCTAATGACAGCGGCAATGTTAATGTTACGCTCAATATGAAATGCTTATATAATATCAGCCCTATGAATTATTTGCTTTATCTATTAGAAATTTAATATCTCACTAGAATTAAATAATCTTTCTCCTGATGAATTTCCTTATTTTTATTTCTTTGAGATCCTGTTCTTTCGTAAAATTCATAAAAATACCCAATTTTCTCTATTCATTAAAAATTATTAAATTAACAACTCAAAAATAACCTAAAATAATATTTTTACCTCGCATTTAAAGTTTTTAAGTTTGCAACTCGACAAAAAGTCTAATTCCTTACCTGAAAACCTAGCCTTCATCAGAATCCTTCTTCTTCTTCTTCTCTTCCTTTTCTTTTCTTTTTCTTCTTCTTCCCCTTGTCCTTAACTTCTTCTTCTCTTCTTTTTCTTTTTTTGTCTTTTTGTTTCTTTTCATCCGATCCTGCTGCTCTTCTCTGTTTCTAACCCAGGTGAGTTACGAGAAAGGGATATAAAGGGAGAATGGATAAATATTCTGTGGATAAGGATGCTTTGGTGGCTGGATAAATATCTATTTCAGTAAATATATGATTCAATATATTTACAATCCAAAACAACCTCTGCCATATATACTGTTTTATTACTTGGTTTGTATTTGTTCCAAATAATTATTTTTGCTATGATAAAAAAATAATAATGAAGGCTGAGTGTACTTCTTAGCTTGGAATTTTGTTGAAATATTGGTCTGACAGATACTAGCAGATTTACTGGATTTTATTTATCCTGATGAACGTATCTATGTGAGCAAGCAGCTCCTAGATTTCTTTAATAAATGGCTTGGGAGAGCCAACTTACATTACTGTCCAAGATTACACTCATCTGCTTAAAAATTTTTTGATGGAGCTGAGACTAGATTTACCATCTTTTTCTTGGTACGAATTGAGGTGAAATTTGTAATCATTGAGTGGGTTGAACTTTCGATCACCATAAGTTCATCTTGGAAGCAATATTTATTTTAAAGAGTAAATTGTCAAAATAGTCCTCTAACTATTTACATGGAGCCATTTTGGCCTCAAATTCTATGAAGTGCCAAATTAGTCATCACTCATCAGACTTTTTAAATTGAGGCTGAAATAGTACTCTGTGGGTGCTTTTTCAGCCCATATAAAGTGTTTGGGGACCCCATTCACTCTGTAATAGATTTTGGGACTAAATTGACTCCCCTGCAAATTGTCATGGAACTATTTTGACACTTTTCTCTTAATTTAAATTTTCCTTTAAAAATTACATAGCATTTCTTGATTTTGGCTAAAATATCATTTCATGTTGACTGGTTATGTGATTAGTTTATCCTACTTAATGAATCATATCTACCGGTTTGACTCAGCTTTATGAGAGGTGATCTGCTTGTTATGTTTGAAGTTGCATTTGGTTACTGATAGTTGGATGCAACAGCATTAAATTTTTTATCACATTAGTAGATACAATTTTTTTTCTTTCTTAAATCACGTCTAAATTTCGTCATGATTCGAAATTCTTTGCCGCTGTGATATTACCTTCACAGTCCATTTATATTACACTCTCAAACATCCCATCTTCCTCTGTGTGTAAAAATTGTAGGCTGGCTGACTTTATTCATGTTTTAAAATTAAAAAAATTATTTTTTTTCTGTTTAACTTGTAGGTTGGGCTATGAGTTTGAGTGCTGGTGAAATGGAATGGAGTTTTGACTATTCTTTCTTCTCTATTATCATTGAACTCACTGATGCTGGGCATGGTTTGTTCATTCTCCGACAACATCAGTTATTTGCTGGTTTTTCAACATTTGCGTGTTTAGCATTGCTTCATATGAGTTTTTCAAGCTATCCAATTTGTTCATCTGTGTAAAAATTTTGTCCCAGAGCATCATGAAGATGTCATTGGATTACTGTTCAACTTTATTAACCTCTTACAAGAATCTGGAGTTGCCAAATGGATTTTTGATGAGGTACTTGTGAATGTTGTATTTATGTATATAAGATAGAATTTTCTCCTCCTAGGAGAAATTCCATTATACCCCATTTTTTTCTGCCGTTGGGTCAACATTTGAATTTTGAATAGTTTCCTGCGTGAATGTTTAAGAAATTAATTGTAAAAATGGTGCTTCCATATAAAATTATGCTATTCATTAGGACTAGTGCTGAAGCCATAGCATCATTCTAATCTTCAATGTGATTTGATTTTATTTAATCAAACATTAAATTTCTCTCATTTTCGACCTTATAAGATACATACAATACTTTTCGATGATTATATGCCTCTTGTTTCCGAAGCAATATTAGATGACGAAACCATACACTTTACTGACAATGGATGCAAAAAGTCTTTCAAATCAACATGCAACTTTCATGGGTTATTCTCTAGCTCGTGTAGTTGTTATGATGCCCATCAAACACTCAATTTTTTTTAAGCTAAATTTGTTAGAGTGGTTTTCCTTTCGACAACTAATAGAGGATGAGATACGAGAGAAGTAAAATCTTTGAGGAAAGAAAGCGATACAACAAAGCAAGCCATAACATTTATTGTATAACTGTGTAATAATTCTCAATCAAGTTCCCTAATATAAGTTTAAAGTCTATTGTGTAGAATATCACTTACAATGCATTCATAGCATAAGTTAAACTTTTTATGGAAGGAAATACATGCAATGATATCCTTGTTTTGTATAAGTTTTAAAACATTTTAAAAATAAATAAAAACGCTCTAAACCTATTATGAAAGATAATTTAATGTTTATCTCTTTTAGGCTTCATTTCATTTGGTACGAAAGAAACTCTCTCTTTCCCAAAGAGTTGGAAAGTGAGCATTAGCGGTGGAGTAAAGATTGTGTCATGCACAATTCTGTGCTTCCCCAGACATATGCAAACAATTTAGTTTGGTAGTTGCGGAGATGGCCGACAACCATTATGAGAGATTACAAGGATAGTTGGTAGCTAAACAATTTGTGAAAAGTCTAGAGGTTCCTGAGTTAAATGTCAACACATTTCACTGGGTCCCTGGGTTGGGTCTCGATGTCGTAGGATGAAATATTATTCCGCTCTACCATCGAATCCCTTTATCATCAAGGCCAAAAACCCCAAAAAGACCGTCCAACTTACGATCTTGCTTGATGGTTTCACATATAGCTGTAGCTATACATGTGCACTTATGTTTCAGACATAAGCGCCTAAAACCCAAACCAAGAAGTAAGGAAAATAAACCGAAAAGCAAGAAAAGCAAAAGAAAATTAACCCGCCTCCAAAATTTAGTAAGGAAAGCCAAAGCGGTAGGAGGGTTGGCCTAAAATATTAAACCGATGGGACTCTCGAATGAGCAATGAAATGGGGGACGCTCCCCAATGCTAACTCCAACACATCTCTAAAAGACATATTATAGAAGACTCCAGGCCGCCCCTAAGCTTTCCCTAAAACTGCCAAAAGAAATTCTCATCTCTCTTTTCTTTCTCTGTTTTTTTTTATATTGAAATAAATTCAGCCCAAAGGTCGAAAAGGTTCATCTGAATTCTTCCAAGCATAAGGATTAAAATATTTCAAGCCCTCAATTTCATCCCAAACTAAAGCTTCCATGAGGTATGAAACCCAACACAACATCAAGGAACCCGCTGTTGACCTTACTTTTGGTTGACATTTAATTTTTCCTCTTTAGTAGCCTAAGGTCTAGCCATAGGATTTTCTTGTTGACTATTCCTAGAAAACTAGAAAAGGAACCATCACCTTTAAAAATTATAAACTCCTCTTTGCTCAACTTGAGGTTTCTCATATTGGTCATAACTGGTCATAACCTCTAGTAGTACTTAGTAGGTGAGGTCAATATAGAGTAGCTCGAGACGAGTTCCCATAGGACTGCTTGACCTTAGGGTTGAACTCGGATATTGGTCTGGAGCTGTTCACTCACTGTCACTCACTTTCACCCCCATTCATTCATAACTCCGAACCGAAACTCGTTGACTGTCATACCCCGATTCTTTGGGAGATTCATGTAGATGGTCTTCTAGACCCTCTAGCTCTAGGCTGGGGTTTAGCTAGCACCAGTACATAGATGACCCAGATGGAGATTCCGTTGGTCCATGGCTCAAATCAGGACGATTAGCACCTCAATTCCACCAATTACCCAATTTAGCCTTTTGTCCCCGAAACCAATTTGGACTCTTTAATTGACCTCCATTGACTCTTTAATTGACCTCCTCTTTAATTGACCTCCATTTGATCTCAATTTGCCTCAATTTGAATCCTAAACTCTTCATAACAATCCTACAAATTAAATTAAACCTTTAATTGGCCCTGATCAAGCCTCAATTTCACTCAATTTCAACCCACATTCAAAATTCCTAAATTTGTCCCAAATTGGCTATCTCCCCAAATTCCACCAAATTGAATGCCTAAACGCCAAAATTGACATCCAATTAATGTTGAGAACTCTTTATAACATTCCCCTATACCACTTTGAACCATCAATTTGGACCTAACCCAACCATAGCCTAACCTAGACCCAAGTCTAGCCCAACAACCCCAAATTAGCTAAATGCCCAAAATCCACCAAGTTGACTCTCCCGATCAACTCGAAATTACTTCAAATTTTTTCTAAACATCTCTTTACAACCAACTACACTATCCTGATTAATTGAGCTCGAACCAAAGTTTTGACGGGAATCGGATCGCGACGCGTTTTTGACCGGATCGTCGGCGAGGTTGCCTAAACGACTTCAGATGGCGAAACGGACTGCGTCGACGCGTCTGGAACGTCGATTTTACCTAGGTGAGACGTTCGTCGATGCGCCTAGGAGGGAATGAATAAAATAAGTATTGTAATAATAATAATAATAATATTATTATTATTATTATTATTATCATTACTATTTTATATCTAATATATTCCCCTTCCCTAATTCTTCAGAGACCCGTAACCTGTTTCGTTCGCCTGGCCCGTCTCTCGCCCGTCCCGTTAGGCTCCCGCGCTCTCGCTCGTCCCGCTCGCACGCCCGACCGTGGCACAACCCATCCATCCATTATCTCTGCCGCAAATCCTATTGTCTGCGAGATCTTCCCATCTGCCTCCCTCGAGCCGCCCGCATGAAGCGTCTGCTCTGCTCGTTTCCTCGAGCTGTCTACGATATTTCGATCATTTCCTCTCTTCCTTCTCCCATCTATATAACACTTTACGTAGAGCATTTTAAAGGAGCGAAAAAAGAAATTTTGAGAGGGAAGGAAAACTCTGCAAAAATTTTTTCTCAACTTCTTTAGTTTTTCGTGCTCGGGTTGACTTCCTCTTGCTGTTGGAGAGGAGTTCGAGCTAGGAAGTGTTTCTCTGAGGTTTTTTTTTTTATTTTGGTTCTGCATTAAGGAGGCACTTCTTCCCCTCCTCTATGCCTTTCTTTCTCTCGATTTTGATCGGCCAGGGCTGCTGGGAATAGTATTTTTGGGCGGGTCTGACATGCTAGTCCAATGTGCTTTGTGTTTTTTGTGATATTCACCATTCAAACATATGAAAGTAGGATTTTTGAACATGTTCTAGGAGTTAGTCCTGATTATTTGCTAGAATCAATGAAAATACATGTTGTTGACTTCCTTCTTTTTGCTTGAAATACTTGGAAGTGTCATGGTGGTAGCTTTGAAATGAGATTTGCTCATCTGGAAATGCATGTTGGAATGAACTATCAAAGCTCTTTATTACTATTACTCCCTTTTAAAATGAGTGTTGGAGATCTCGCTTTGCTTTTCATATATATATGGGGCTCGGTTTTGGTTCCTTGCGACTTTTCCTTGCTCGAAATACATGCTATAAGAAAATTTCTTTAATTTGGAAAGCCCTGTAACTTGCTTTAATGGCTTGGTTTAGCTTCTTGTGAGGCACCCTTTCTGCTCAGATATCTGTTGGGAATTGTTTGATGCTTAGAATATGTATTTTGGTGACCCGGACTTGTTCTTTATACCGTTATTCCTGTTTGAATCTTGTTTGAAATGAGTATTGGCTTCACATCTTGAGTTTTAAAGGCATGCGGATTTTTTTCTTTAGCCTTTGGATGGCTCGGTTTTGCCTTGGAATGGATGGAGCTTAATTACTATTTGAGGTGCGGGTGTTAATTTTTATTGGAGCTCTATTTTGGCTTTGAATGACTTGGTTTTAGCTTCTCGTGGGGCTCGGCTTTGCTTGTTGAGGTTCTTGGTTTTACCCCTGGGTTGCTCGGTTCCTGCCCACCTATTGAATTCATTTTTGCATGAAATTGGGGTGTTATTGGCTGCCCCTTCTTAAATATCCGTGCAGGTTCATCCCCAAATAATTTAAAGCTTGTTCGGGGCTCGGTTTTGTTGGTTTTGGCCCTTGCCCGAGAGCTGGTTCGTTGTGGAGTTTGGTCCCGTTTGCTTTGGCTCTTACCCGAGGGCTTGTTGAGGGAGCATAATAGCAGCTGTTAGTGGTGGTCTTTTTCTGTTGGTTGCCTGGGCCTTGGGCCTTAGTTGTTGGTCCTTTTGGTTGCCTCAGCCGTGAGCCTTAGCAGCTCCCCTTTTCCTTTTGGTTGCCTTGGTCGTGAGCCTTAGCAGTTGATCCCTCTCTTTGTTGCTTTGGCCGAGAGCCTTAGCAGCTGTTTGTCGACCCTGGCCGCAAGCATTTATGTGGTTTTAGCCGGATGATTTAATGCATATTTGATATAAAGAGCTTTTGATTAAGCCTGGAATTGAATTTTTTTATTTTGGCATGATTTTGGAAGTGCGAATGGCTGTCGTCCCTGGGTTACTTTCCTTTTGATCGAGTTCTGAAATCTGAAAGACTTTGAAAAGACTTTGAAATATTTTATTTTGGAAGAGCATAGGGTTGATCTAAATTGATATCATAAAGGATGTTTCAGAAGTTTGACATTGAAGTTGTGATATCGTTCGAGTGTAGGTTCGGGTGTGTGAGGATATGTAGTCAGTGGTGAAGCCATGTATACAGTTGTCACATTGACCTTGGCTC